TTGCGAAACCATATCGTTCGCGGTTGGCTTCCACCTCTTGTGCCAAAGCGGATGCGGATGGTAAGTCAGACGGACGTGACGAAAAATGATATCACATAATGATATCCTGAGACCCGATACAAAAACACGGAGTGCGTTCATTCTGTATTTACTATTCATGGACTGTGCCCCATTATTGTCATACGTCATAATAACCTTATTCGTTAACAGGGTAAGTTTACGTTCAACATTGTCGTAAAATTCCAATATTGATAGCCTGCCTAAGAGTGCTAAGCTCTTGCTCGATTAGGTATATTGGTCTTTTATCAGTATAGGCGAAGTCTAGTCTGGCTATTATGCTCTGAAATTCAATATTGTGTTAAATGAAGCAAGTACAGCCACAATTTGATAATGTTTTGAAGCTCCGTCAAACTTCTCGAATACTTTGTATGCTGTGAAAGCAGTTTGTGTCCACGAGACGTAGCTATCTTGTATTCCGTAAAATTCAGGTAAAGATTTCACTACGTCAAGAGTCTCCTCGCATTTTATTGTATCTACAATCTCGACTACTATTTTTCTACCTCCTTTTTTGTTTCTGTGAGTGAAGAAAATTTAGACACTAAATCACTTGCCATAAATCAAGAATCAGACTTGTTAATTGAAATTTTAAACAAAAACAAACTTTTTTGATTCAAAAATTTCGATAAAAAAAATTTCGATTTAAAAAAAATTTCGATTTAAAAAAATAAACTTGTGAAAATTTCACGCAAATTGAATCGCCAACCCCGTTCAAAAATCAAAAACTCTGCAATGATTCGACAACTATTTCTATGTTTACAAATTTTTTTTTATTTCGCCAAGTCTTTTCTTTGTTGTATTATTCCTGGAATTCACCAAGTATTTCAGTTGTTGTAATATTCTTGAAATTCGTCAAGTCTTACAGTTGCTGTATTATTCTTGAAATTCACAACGCGCACACTCAATTGTCTTGGTGCTGCTATTGCGATTGTTGCTTTTGTTTTATATATGTATATATCTTGGGTTGGATTTTACTATTTTCGATGGTTTAAGAAATTTAAAATTTTAACTTATTTTTAAATTAAATAGTTGTAGATGTTTAATTTATATTTTTGAAATTATATGTTGGATTTTTTATTACATATAAAGTAATTCGCTATATATTGTAATTCAATTTATTAATTTATTGAGTTTTTTCTTCTCGTTTGTTCTTAATTGTTCCAAAAAAGTTTTTTCTACATAAAAATTTGTTGATGCAATTTGCTCCGTTGCTGTTTTTATTTATTGTAAAAGCACAAAAGGTGCTTTTCTGCAACGTAATTCGATACCGTTGGGCGCCAATTATTTGTTTTATTAATTCGTAGTTTTTATATAATTATTTAATTATTGCGACTGCACTTCACGATTGCTGCTGCTGCTCGTTTACCACTATTTATAACTGGTTTTACCACATTTTGTAACTGCTTCCGCTTCACGTTTTGTAAGAAGTTCGTTTAGTAAGAAGCTGGTTTAATAAGAAGTTCGTTTAATAAGAAGCTCGTTCAGTGAGAAGCTCGTTCAGTGATAACTTATATATTCCTAACTAAACTCATTATAGGCGTGAATACGTTTATAAATATTCCTCAATAAACCCATTACAGGCGTGAATACGTCTATGTAGTCCTAACTAAACTGATTATAAGTATGTGTACGTTATATCCTTGCGAACAAATCCGATATAATATTTAGCACGAAATTTTAAACATATTTTTATTACCTTCACATTGTTAGCTTTAAGAAACCAAATCTAATAAATATACATTCGAAAGCATTCACTAGACACTGTGTCTTCATTCTTTATAAAATTTATTGTAACGACCCCGGACCAGCCACTAAGTTTACAGCAGCAAATAGGGACGAACAAAACGTGTCGTTACAGTGTGCAGGCGTTAGAGCCTTACCATCGTTCGGATCGTCTGATAATGGGACTATCGACCGGGAATTTAAAATCGCTTCAGTGTGAACTGCCTTTGATGAAAAGCAGACAAAAATTGCTATATAAGTTTTGTATGGAACTTTTCTATGAATACGATATTTGTATAAAATGGTCCACATAAATCAACTCCTGATATTAGAAAAGATCGGTTCGCAACTAATTGATTCACTGGCAGCGAACGTGCATGTGTTTACGATGTAAGTATTCCATAAAAATTTTAGAAAACTGTTGATCACGTAGCAGTTAAGCTGAAAATTTTGCATCAAAGCCTATTGGTGTATTCGTCAATCATCCTCTTAACCGAATTATATTAAACGTTCCGCTTCCAATGACCAAATAGGGGTTCACGTTATGCAAGTCTGAATTCAGGATTTTACCCGATTGAAGCGATGATATTACACTGTGATATGTACAATGTTGAAGGTGTGATATAAAATACCAAAATGATTCTTGAAATTCATGCACAGTAATTGGACTCATATCGTTCACTATTTGATTATTATTTATTGGTACTTTGTTAAAGACTCGAAGGATATATGATATTACCCTAACAATACGACGAAATGATGAAAAATTATTAATAATTTTATTGAATATGTGCATTGATACCACTGTTACTACATTTCAAGACAGTAGGTTTTCGTAGCTCAAGGTCCTTTGCAAGAAACTCAGTTGTCGATGTTTCTTTTGGTCATTTTGCCAGTTGTCAGACACGGTTAGCTACAAAAAAATTTAAAGTTGAGGATTTTAGAATCTGTCAAAAAAAAAATTCATTAATAAATGGTAATACTTTAGGTTATATTTTGTTCAAAGTTTTATAAAGTACGGCAGCGCATAATTCTAAACAAGGAAGCAATACTGTTTTGATCGGTGCAATCTTTGATTTCGATATCAACAACAAGGATTTGTAAAAGCCATTATGATTTGACAAAATATATATACAACATCCAAAACTCGCTGAGAAACATCGGCAAAGCCGTGTACCTGACTGTAGATTTTATAGTTGCAGTTGTTGAATGGCGAATTTGTATTCTAATATCACCAATGCCTGACACTTTCTGATTTATTCGCTCAAATGGCAGTTGAAATGGTTTTGCGATTTTCTCAGTTTAGTATGCGATACTACAGAATTAATGGAGATTGCGGATAATTTAATTGTCAAGATGAACCGTCTGACAAATTTGGTCTCACATTTTGATCAACGGGTTTGAATGTATGCAAACTTGTATGATGCATGCCATTGCATATTCAACAGAGAGATTTGGATTGACAATTTTTAACACCATGGTCTTTGCGTAGGTTATTTAAACAAACAGAAAAATCTTAAACGAATTTAAATTTGTCGTTAAAAGTCAGTACTAAACACGATGGACATGATTCTAGGCGTGTCCATTACACTTTATACAATTGATTTTAGTGTTGACAAATGTGGCCAATTTTCTGTGAAAACAATTATTTTCATTCATCTTGTAAGTATTGCATCTTTTCGAGTTGCTCAAAATCTTGCTGAGAATGGTAAAGTTTCTTTATTCACCTTAGACAACACTAGATGAATTATTATGGCAATTTGAATGTCTGCTTCCGAACCTAACGATAGAAATGAACCGAATAAAGCTTACACTGTATCTACAATATTTCTGAGTACAATTTAGCCGCCCTTCGTCATATTTTTAATAAAAAAAAGAGAATTAATGTGTTCCATAAAAATCAATGCCTTTTTGTCATATCGCATTTGTAATTGCATTAAAGCCTTTGAATAATTTTCTTCCGCTATTTGATATAATTATACTACGCTCAACGCCGCACCCGACAGACAATTTAGAAGATAATTAAATTTATCAAATAATGCTATCAACGGATCGTTGTGTATTAGATTTGTGAAAGCAGAGAAAAAACGTTTATAATCACTGTATTAACCATAAAATTTTGGCAATTTTAATTCTGGTAAACGACTATGATTTGAAGAGTAATTTTATGATTGTTGACACGATAAGTGATTTAATGCTGACATATATGTCCTCTAATTTGCTACGCCTATCATCATTAGGACATGCTTGTTCAATTCTACTCTGTATTTGACAACCTTCTGTAAAATATGATTCCAAAATTTGCAGTCGATATTCTAAAATGATAACATCCACAAACGTTAATTTTTTCTCTACATTCGCCTTAAAACTCAGCACATTTCATTCTACAGATGTCCGTTGTTGTTTTAGTGACAAAAGTTGCTCCGTTACTGTGTCACTTTTTCAACGAGTTATTTTTGTTGTGTTTTATGCAAAGAAAACAATAAATACGATAGATTTGCAATAAAGTATTATTGTATGCACTCAATTTGAGTAGAGTGTGTTTACAACGGTGAATATAAATTTGACTCAACTGCATATTCAAATTCAAAATTTTATTCTAAATTAAAAAAAATTTTATTTTATAATTTAATTTTTATGACAATTAATATTTTTTTTTATACCATTGTCACAAAGAATATCTGTCCTGCTTATGATAAGATGTATAGTATGCATATAGATTTTTATTTGTGATCATGGCGAACAGCCGAAATTCAGAAATCTAAGCCACTACCACGAAACTTTAATTTAAAATCTTTTATAATTTGTAATATCCATTATTAAACAACAATTTAACAATTGTGTTCTTGTCGTATAAACACAATAAGAATCATGAACACAATTACATAAATCAGTTGCAAAAATTGCAACTTAAATGCCATATATCTTTTGGAATATATTATGCTAAGGTGTAATGAAAATTCAAAAACAAAACATGGATTTACGTTAGGCACAGACAACGATAATAGATCTGAATAAATTATATTACATGGGAAGTACCATATTCTACGAAGTTTACCTGAATATCCACCATTCCTATTAATGAAAAGGGTACAACTTCAGTTATATACTGCTTTTAGGTAAAAAATACTGCTTAATTAAAATACACACGGTTATTTAAGAATATTAGATTTATAGTTTTTATATCATTTTTGTATATATGCACAATATTCAATAGATTTAGATACTTCAGTTTCTTATATTTATTATGAAGGATAACACATTTATAACATATTTTTGATATATAAAAAAATTCTAATTACAATAACGATAAAACTAAAAATAATGAAATAACACATACATGTTAATTAAGCGCTAGCCATAGTTCATACTACTTGAGTTGTTTGAAGTTTGAAAAGTGTTGGAAAAATTTAATTGTGTTAACTGTTGAGAGGAAAAATTCCGATTTTCATTTGTCATATGATTTTCATGGCACCATTCCACAAAGTCATCGATAAGTACAGGCCAAGCACCTTCCGAATCGTAATTGGTCATTTTTTCATCGATTTGCGTAGCAAAATCAAGCAATAAATTCCAAGTATCCTTTGGTATAGACCGTTTATGTTTTTCCTGTAAAACATTTTCACCAAAAATTTAAACAGTATATAAAATTAATATAAATAAAATATTGCACCAGGTCATTCTTTATGTAATATAATTTAATATTATAAACAAAACAATATTTTTACGCCTTTAAAACTGATATGATATAAAATGTTGCAAATTTCAAAATCAAAATAAATTTGGTAAAGATTGAAACAAATTTGAAGCATTAAAATAAAATGAAACTTAAGGTATAGAAAAAAACATAAATATAGTGTAAATAAATATAAATAAAGTGTAAAAAAGAAACATAAACGCACGAAAGAAAGGCGCAAAAATATATATACTTTAATATTACTTATTATATAACTTTAATTTAATTGCATTATATTTTTATCTTATATTATATTATTATATGGTGTATTTTGTAAATTATATTATATATTTTGTTAAACGATATTAACTTTATCACGATATTATTAACTTGGGAGGAAAGGGAGTGAACCTGGCCAATCAAAAAATAAACTGTCTGATTGTTTTTAACCTGGTAAAAGCCAACGGAAATATTATCACTGTTTTCTTTAAGTTGACACACAACCTCCAATTGGCCCCCTCTGGAAGAAACACCAACAATATATTCTTCCCTGAGTTCCATAGTACAGATCATGATCAAATTTTCCCGGTTTTTCATATTTTCATCATGATAACATATTCTATGTACATATGCTGTGAAAGTTGGTCTTAACGATAATTTTATACTTTAGCTCTAATCTACTCTCGTATTCAGCTAGATTTAAAATATTATAAATAGTCTCCTACATATTAGTAAAATATTTCTCATAGTTTCGGCACACTTTTCCCCAAGTGGCGGCTACAATACCTGGACTGTTCCACTCCAAACGATAATGTTTCATTTTACATTTAAAAAATTGGTATTTTAGTTAGTAAAGTGAAAAAATTTGAAAACAATAACTAATTAAGAATCAACATCTCAGACAAGAATTAACGCAAGGCGTCAATTACTGTAAATTTACCGCACATCGTTTAAATAATACAGAAGAATGGAAAAACATAAATTGTGTAAACAGTTACTTGACAGTCAAAATATGATGTAGGATTTGTTTTTGTTATATTTTATGTTCGCCTTTCAATAATATTATATTTTTTTTATGTTTATATTCCTAATATAGTAATTAACAAATATATAAAATAAAAAACATATATACTAAAACAAAAAGTTGTCTTTTTTTGAATAGTTGAAAATTTCGATTTTTTTCAATGAGTAAACTCATACTTGACAAACTGTATATATAATATATATACTATAGTCAAACTTTCATAACTCGAAGTCCAATTTTGCAAAGAAAAGGTTCGACTTATGCAGACTTCAAGTTAGAGAATTTTTTTATTTTTTTTATTTTTGGAAGAAACCAGAATCACATTTTAAGATATTTATTTATTTGCAATCAAAAAAAGCACAAAAGTTATAGTGAAGCATAATATTCAGAAATTAGGGGTTGGGACTTTAATTACTCTTATCACTATCATTTCTAGCATTATTCATTTGTTTATAAAAATAATTAATTCACGGGCTAATTGGTCAGTTATTAAATAATGATATTTTTTATTATTTAGTTTTATAAGATTTTTATTTTCCAATATTTCGACTATAATCTATAGTCATCATCGGGGAACTATACATATAAATACATTGTAATTAATATTAAGGTATACATTACATAGAAACAATAATAAATTACATTTTCATTGAAACATGAAACATACATATGTATTTGGAAAATATACAATACTTTGACTATAAGAATCATAAAAATAACATATATATACACGAAAAATATATTTATCCTCTTCCGGATTTGTCGAAGGTGTTTTTATACACCTGAGCAGTGTTGTATGTCACTTTTGAAATTTAGTCTGGTGTCACTTGGAGTTTGAAGGATGTATAACATCTCTAAGAAAAATCGTTTTTGTTGATGATTTTCTTGGTGTAACACCTTTATGTTATCAAGGTCTGGCTCATGTTTTGATGTAATGCAGTGTGATGCCAGTGCCGTTTTTGAGTCAATATTATTTTTATATTTGACACTGTGTTTATGTCCGGCTATACGCGTCTTTAACTTGTTTTTTGTTGTGCCAACATATACTTGGTTGCATATGTTGGATCCATCACCTTTACATTTAATTTGATAAATCACATTGTGTCTATCCAAGGTATCTATTTTAGATTTGGTGTTCGAAAACAGCGTCTTCATCGTGTTATATGTCTTATATGTAATTTTATATTTTTCTTTGTCATATATTGTTGAAGTTATTTTTGTAAATTGTCTTATTTCGTTCCATTTAGTTTCTAAAAGTTTTACCGCTTAATCTAGTGGTATGCTGGGAAATAGAGATACAACATAACCAATTACCATATTTGGACATTCATTTATTACGATATAATAATCGTATAATGACAAAATGATATCAAAAACCAACAGCCTCTGGACGAATTATAAACTTCAATTCAAAACACCCCCACCATGTAATAAGTAACACAGCCAAAAATATGGCTATAAGAGCATTAGAGTTAAGTGACACAATTTCCACAAGGAGGTAAGAAATAATATCAAAATGGTTTTGAACAAAAATGATTTCCTCAACCCAGTAATACATAAAATTTTAAAAGAAAAAAGAAATCAAAAAGTAAACCAAAATACTCAAATTTATAAAAGTATGGTATATGTACCAAAACTCTGCAATCAAATTACAACTTCAACAATATATGACAAAGAAAAATATAAAATTACATATAAGACATATAACACGATGAAGACGCTGTTTTCGAACACCAAATCTAAAATAGATACCTTGGATAGACACAATGTGATTTATCAAATTAAATGTAAAGGTGATGGATCCAACTTATGCAACCAAGTATATGTTGGCACAACAAAAAACAAGTTAAAGACGCGTATAGCCGGACATAAACACAGTGTCAAATATAAAAATAATATTGACTCAAAAACGGCACTGGCATCACACTGCATTACATCAAAACATGAGCCAGACCTTGATAACATAAAGGTGTTACACCAAGAAAATCATCAACAAAAACGATTTTTCTTAGAGATGTTATACATCCTTCAAACTCCAAGTGACACCAGACTAAATTTCAAAAGTGACATACAACACTGCTCAGGTGTATAAAAACACCTTCGACAAATCCGGAAGAGGATAAATATATTTTTCGTGTATATATATGTTATTTTTATGATTCTTATAGTCAAAGTATTGTATATTTTCCAAATACATATGTATGTTTCATGTTTCAATGAAAATGTAATTTATTATTGTTTCTATGTAATGTATACCTTAATATTAATTACAATGTATTTATATGTATAGTTCCCCGATGATGACTATAGATTATAGTCGAAATATTGGAAAATAAAAATCTTATAAAACTAAATAATAAAAAATATCATTATTTAATAACTGACCAATTAGCCCGTGAATTAATTATTTTTATAAAAAAATTTCTTTTGGTCATTAAAACATTTAATTATTCATTTGTAAATATATATTCAGAATTTTGAATTAATCTTCTACTTCATTCTTGGAAGGTTGATAAACAATTACATCCACCGAACCCTCATCATCACTTTCCACTGCGCTTAGATATGGAACCAGTAATTTAGAGCTATAGTGCTCAATAATATCGTCATCTGTAGGAAAACTTGATGTACAAATTTCATTGTCAAGCTTAATATAATCGTTAAGAGTAGCATTAGAAGTTATTTTATTTACTTTAAACCATGCTGCCAGTGGCTGGCATTTGCACAAAGAAGCAACATAAGAAAAAAAAAAATTAAACATTTGGAAGAAGGGACTTGCCCTAACACCAAAATGCATTTATACTTTAAATAAATATTTGACTTATAGAATGCACTTTCTCCATATTCCTATCGACACGAAACAAAATTTTTGTTCGAGATATAGAGAAATTCGAGTTATAGAAGTTCAAGTTGTGGAAGCAGAAAAAAACCTTGGTGCACTGTTTTTGGTTCCAGTTATAGAAGTTCGGGTTATGTATAATATATATATATATATATACATATATATATATATATACCTTGTGATCAAAAACGAAAGAGAATTTTAATTTTTTGAATTCTTGCGCTTATCCAATCGTTAATTTTTTTGTTCACACTGGCAACACACTATTATCTTAGCGTCTATACAAAGAAGTCGAAAAATTTTCGATTTTTACCTTATGGCGTCTATGGTCTCAAAACGCGTTCCTCGCAATGGCAATTTGAGTGGGGGGAAGAAAAAAAAGTCACATGGGGCCATATCTGGAGAGTACGGTGCTTAGTTGATAATATTGGTGGAGTTTTTGGCCAAAAACTGCGGCTTTTTTTGAATGAAATTCAGTTTTTTTCCCACCAACTGAGAAGCGACGCGTTTTAAACCCAAAACATCAGTTAAAATGTGTTCGGCCGATCCATATGAGGTGCGCAACAACACAGCAATCTCTTTAATCGGTTCACAACGATTTTCCAACACGATCTGCTTCGCCGATTCAATGTTTTCTTCAGTAACAGAAGTTGTTGGGCGGCCAGGGATCTCATCATGGTCCAAGCTTGTACGACCGTCTTTGAACCTTTTAAACCATTCGTATGCTCGTGGTTGCGACACACACAAATCACCAAAGGCCCCTTTTTAACATTTTTTAACAGTTTCGGCAGACTTGAATCCATTTGCAACACAAAATTTGATGCACGCGCGTTGTTCTAATTTTTGATCCATTATAAAAATCGCCACACGAAAATTTTTCGACTTTTTGTATAGACGCCAAACAAAAACTAATCGTACGATATGCTTTAAACTTTGACAGAATGTGTATAATTGTGTTGCCAGCGTGAAAATAAAAAAAATTTGGATAAGCGCGGGAATTCAAAAATAGGCCTCTCGTTCTTTTTTGATCAGAAGGTATGTATAATATACATATATAATATACATATATATTCATATATAATATACATACATATACAGTCGGAGTCATAAGTCTACAAGCAGGTAGTACAAAAAACTTTGTTTGAAAATATTTTCCAAAAAAATCAATTTGTTGGAAACATACTTTATTGTTTTTTTTATTACATTCAATGCACAATGTTTTAGCGAAGTTTCTTTGTATTTGTTCAAAAAACAACCGATATAACGGTACTTTTATCATAAAGAGTAGCAAAACAACTTTTGATTTTTACTCTAACTTTTTAACGATTGAATGATTTAATGATTGAACTAATCTTCTTGATAGTTTCAGAACATATTTATATAGTTTTTAGGCGTAACATTTTTGTTTTGTGTTTTGTTTATTTGTGTTTTGTTTATTTTTGTGTATTTTTGGGTATATTGTTCGAACTTTTACGAAGTAGCAGAAATGACAGATATAATAGCAATTCTAAATGTTAATTGAAATAAATTGAAAATTGGTCAAAATATTCTTTTTCAATAAATACATTTATGTTAATACCTTCATTTATGTTAAACTTAAATGAAATTATAGTTTTCAATATGTATTTGGAAGAAATAGTAATTTCATATGATATTTAATTTCACCAATTTTTTATTACATATTTATTTAAAATGAAGCATTTATTTATTGCATATATGCAATATAATAAAAACATTCAAATATGGCTAAAGTACTTCAAAAATGTCACATCATTGCACTGAAGGCACAATGGCACATAACTATTCATTGGAAGCATTAAATCACTTAAAAATTTAAATGCCACCGATATACTTTTTGGAGGGCTTTAATTTTATTGGCAGGTAATTTTAGACAAACATTACCAGTTATTCCACGTTCAACCTATGCTGATGAAATCAATGCTTGCCTAAAATCATCTATTTTGTGCCGAAGTGTCCATATACTTTATTAAATTTCCAAAAATTTTTTGTAAAATTATTAATTCGCAAGAGGAATTAATAGAAAGCGTATTTCCTAACATATACCTATCAAAATTATAAGAATCCTCAATGGCTTCAAAATAGAGCGATTCTGGCTGCCAAGAACTTAGATAGCGATGAAATCAATTTCAAAATTCGAACTATACTGCCTGGTAATTTAATTTCGTTTGAGTCCATCGATAAAGTGGTAGATGAAAACGAGATTGTGAATTATCCCACTGAGTTCTTAAATTCGTACTACCACCACACAATTTACATTTAAAAATTGGTTCACAAATCATTTTATTACGCAATTTAAACCTACCAAAATTATGTAATGGAACAAGATTAATTATAAAAAGAATTATGATGAACTTAATTGAATCAACAATATTAAGTGGGAAAATTCAGAGAGAAAACATATTGCTTCCACGCATACCAATTATACCAACCGATGTTTCAATTCAATTCAAAAGATTGCATTTTCCAGTTCGTTTAGCAGTAAACTAAAAGTAAGTAGACTGAATTTGGAAAATCCATTTTTTTCGCATGGGCAACTATATGTTGCATGTTACCGTGCTGCAAAACCTTCTGATCTATATATATATGCTTAAAATGACCTAACAAAAAATATTGCTCATGATTTAGCTTTAAGGTAACATTATAGTAGCCCATAATTAAACTGTTAATATACTCTTAAAAAATCCTTTTCATTTGAAATGTAGTGCTTATAAGGATTTGAAATAACATGAAAATATTTCTAACATAAGTAATACATGGGGAGACAACGTTCGCCGGGTCATCTAGTATATATATATAATATACATGTATATATATATATATATATAATATACATGTATATATATATATATATATACATATATATATCGAATAAGCAGATGAAACACGTTGATGCATTAAGTCGTTACGCGATACTAACAATCATATCAAGAGAAGATAATTTAGTAATAAAGGTAAAAAAATTGCAAAAAGACGAAGATATAAAAAGAATTTCAACAATTTTGAATCAACAACAAAACTAAAATGAATATTTTCTGCGAAATTAAATTTTGTTTAAACATTACAATGAGATTGGATTATTAGTGGTACCATAATCAATGCAAAATGAAATTACTAAAAAAATTCATGAAAATAGTCAAACGAGCCTTGTCACGTCAGAGGTGGTGTGGGAACAAATACATAATTATTTGATGTAGAAATGCGTATTTCGTGCAATCAATTAGTTGCTACTGTAATTGTACATATCATAATCATATTTCCTTAAAATAAATCCTCACAATGGGAACTATACTACTTTGCTAGGAATGATAGAAATTAAAGCAATCAACACGTAAATAACTTTAGTTCTAGCATTTTCTGCAGCTTTCAATAAAAATTTTCCTTGGAATATAGAGGTTTCCCGCATTTATTTAGAACAAACCTGCAAATTTATTTAGAACGAACACTTGTATGAGTTTAGCAAATGTAGCTGAGAAACGGTTAATACTTATCAATTATCTTAGTTTATAGGTGTAGATTGCATTAAAATACGCATATTTTAAATGTTTTAATAACTATTGTAATTTTTACGCATGTCTTTATATTGGAAGTTTTTTTACTTTTAAATCTATGCGTATTTTACATCAGTGTAAAATGGGTTTCAATTTTTTTTGTACTGTATAAAAACCACATATTACTTTAAGAAAAATATATTGCATATTCTATGGGAGATGTGGCGTAAGAGTTAAGCTATGAATAATTTAATTGTGCAATTATGTGTGTGTAATATGTGAGAGCACATAAATAGCATCCTAAATATAGTTTAATAAAACAATTAAACACAGTCCAACAATTTGCCAAAGTCACTCGTAATAACAAGTAACAACAAAATTATAAACAAGAAATATTGAGCAATACAATTATTGTTTTGCTAATGACTAGAACCTAGAAAATTTGCATAGCAATAGTAAAAAATAAATAAAGAAATAGTATCAAAACTTAAAATTTTTTTTAGAGTATAACAAAAGAAATTATATTAAAAACATAAATTCATAATTTGCAAATAATTATACTCCATTATGCACAAATATCCTTAAAATAATAAAATTACATATAACCTGTAAAATAATCATATTACATATTACCTTTAAAAATATGCACCACATATCTAAAAACTTAAAACGGCCACTTAACACAATACGCCAGTAAGCAATTGCCATATCCAAATCGATTCCCTTTTGGCCTGGATCTTTAGCGTAATTGAAAGTAAACTGATAAAAGTCTTTAAATTTACCCAAATCATTTAGGTCTTTTTCGAGTATAGGAAGTCTGGCTTTCAATTTATCTATACTATCAACTCCCAACTCAAACATGCCATTTACAAACTCGTCGCGTGAAAACTCACATTGTACTTCAGCATGAAATTTCCATGCTATAATCAGAACTAATTTTGAATCGGGACTTAGCTCTAAATCATCTAAAAGCTTTATTACACCATCAGAGCATATTTTAAAATCGTCGTTTTTATCACGATACCGCAGAAACAGTTGTTCAATTTTTCTGCGATCTACTTCGCGGCAATATTCTTTCGGATGTTGAAAAAAATTATCACTCGCTACTTCCAACTTCCATCCACTTTGCTGCAAACAATATATAGCAGTTTGCTCACTGGTTTGAGTTAGTGATATAAACTTTTTTATCTTCTCCTTTTGCAGCGATTTAAATTTATTCTAAAATATTTAAAAATAAATTGGTATAACTAAAAGTTTACATAATTAATATTGGTTTAAAATTTTTAACGTAAGCTACCACAGGAAATTTTAATTATAGTGATAATGTGAAACATTACTATTTGAAAAAAAAGAATTAACATTTAAAGAACTTACCATCTTAATGATGATTTCAGTAACTTTTAATATAATTAAACCTCGGACAGTTTTTACTTTATTGACTAATGTTGATTACACACAAATTCTTAACAATTGACAATCAACAAATATTGCCAGACTAAAATATTATGAAATAACTCTTGACATTTAAATTTCCAATACCTTTTATTTGAAATCAGTCACACACGCAAAAACTTGATTGTCCTTATGTTACAAATCGCAAGTTTCATGTGTCTGGGCATTTCATAGGTTGCTATTAAAATATTATACAATTTACATTAAATTAAAATGATGACATATCGACATAAAAGAATACTTGTACAAAAACAGAATAGGCAGCGTGCATATGTGGAAACCAAATGAGTTGATACACAGCCTGATGAATATAATCAAAATGCAAATATTATCAACATGACTCGTTACGTCCCTCCTTTTTACACCAACCGCTAAAAATTCGTCTTAGAAAATAAAAATTAATTTGAATATATGTATCACACAAAAATTTTGCTAAGGTATATTCAGAATAGGTGTCCACTTCGAAGCTACACGAGAAAGTCGTTACAAGTACATAACAGTATCGAAAATTCATTCACACTCTCATTTAAAAGGTTTTGCTCATTATAATCACTAATGAGCATGATTTACCATACAAAGAGCTTTCTATAAATGAGCTCATTTACAATAAATCAACTAATTTTAGATCAAAAAAATCGAATGCAACCTTTAAAAATAAATTTCCCACAAGGAAAATGACCAAAATTTGAAGTATATGTTAAATAGTTTAAATATAAAATGTAAACAAGCAACACTTGAGCTGTAAACAATCGCACTGAGAATGTAAGTACTTAATAAAATCTTTTTTATTAATTGAACATGTTATTATATATGTAAAATGTATATAAATATGTTAATATATCAATTATATATTTGATTTTTTTGTGTTATATATTATTATGTGATGTTTATTTATTTCAGATTGATTCAAGTCAATGGCAAAAGGAAGTACGTACTAGAATTTAATAAAGTTTTTTGTTTTCATAAATTAATTGAATTTGGATTTAATTAAATGAAATATTATTTTCAGACACAAAAAATAAAGAGAAACAGAAATGTGTATTCGGGAAGTCCACAACTTCACACAAAGGTTTAAATGAGTACAGTTAAACTTGTAAGTATGGAAATTTACACTAAATTTCTACCTACATAAACATGCACTAAAGACAATAACAACACAAACTAAAACACACCAACAGAAGACCGATGTTTTATAAAACAACACATGTTTTTTTATAATTACATTTAAATTGAAAAAAAGGAACACTCACTAAATGTTGCAAATATCTGGAATTAAATAGATTAATTAATATTTAAAATATTTTTTCAAAGCAACTTACCAAAACCCAACTCGCTTGCAAGCCTTAATTACACCTCAAACTAAGCTGAAATGATATTGAAATGAAATATAAAAATATAACTAAATAAATGAATAATAAACTCACCTTATTTATTTGTTAATTATATTTCTCATTTTTATGTTTTAAGTTTGATGAATATTTGCACTTTTAATATTTTTTTTTATTATAACAGACAAAATAAATAAAAACCACCACCGACAGAATGTGGTTTTAAAAGACGTTTTGTAAGAATCAAAACAAAGCAGCGGAATAGCGACATAAGAAAACAAGAACTGCCAAAAATATTCGCCGTAAGAGAAGCTCAAAGAGAAGCTAAATGCACAAGCTGAGTACCGCACACAACATGAAATAGAAAATCAGAATGGCTAAAGTAAACAAGAATTACGTGAGATCAGCTGTAAATAAAAATGATACGCTACGAAAACGCTCGGTTGAATGTGTATATAAGACGAGCATTTTACTTATACGAACACTTGGTTTATAATTTCTAAGGCACATGCACCTGAGAATAACAAGTCGAACTACAGAATTACAAAGACACGACAGGCGGTATAACGTCGACTGAGTCTAAAGTAATTCCCTATTACATATTCACTAACTAATTCAATTCTAATAACATTTCTATAGATAGCCCAGAAGAAGGATCTCGGAAAAAAGTAAGCAATCTCCTGCAAACAATTCGATTCGAAGACATCTAGGACATCTCTGCCGTCATAAGCAAATTCTTTTAAATACACGTTTCTGTTCTAAATTTTCTTACATAAATATTCTGTATTAAATTGTAATTAACTATACTTAATGAACTTTACTTAATAAAAGTATTTAAATAAAACAAATTTATAAGGGATTATAATTTTGAATATTTGGGTTACAAATAAAATTTATTGTAACGATCCTGGAGAGGCTGAGGATACCCCAGCAAATCGAAATGACCGCAAGGAAGAATCGTTACAAACTTCCATAACTTGAAGTACCATTTTGCAAAGAAAAGGTTCGACTTATGGAGACTTCGAGTTAGAGACCTCTTTTATTATTTTTATTTATTACAGTTTAAGATGTTTATTTATTTATTTAAAATCAAATACAGCACAGAATTTATAGTGAAGTAAAATATTCAGAAATTAGGATTTAGAATTATAATTTTTGTTTCTTATTTTCAGTAAAAAGAGATTTCAATTTATTCTAAATCTTATAGTGATCATCAGATGAAGTATCATTCGTTTACGAGTGACATGCTAGCAACTGGCATTTGCACAAAGAAGGGAAAAAAGTGATTTCACCAAACACCAGAATGGGTTCATACTTAAAAAAAATTCGACTTATAAAATGTACTTTCCCATATTGCTATTGGCACGTAACAACATTTTTATTCGAGTTATAGAGAAATTCGAGTTTAAGAAGTTCGAGTTATAGAAACAGAATTGTATGTATCTTGCTCTCTAAAACCCTGTTGCATTTTTTTTAGTACGAGTTACAGAATTTCGAGTTATGGAAATTTTTTTTTTCGTATATATATTGTGATAACATAAAGATTTTGGCGATCTTGTAATAATTCGCCTTATTTTAGAACATAAATAATAATATCTGTGGAACTAAATTTAATTTAAACAAATCTGACAGAGCCATACAATTATACTAGTGACTGGTTTTTCTGTACACACACACATAAAAACTGATAGAGACAGGAAACAAAAGCTTCTAAACTTAAAAGTAAAAAATTAAATAAGTGTTGCTTAGGGGGTTTTTAAACCAATTACACAAAATATAATCATAAAGTGTGTTATGCCTAATGTCCCTCGACAATAAATGCACACAGATTGAGTAGTTTAAAATTATTCACTTTTCTAGAAAGTTGTTTCTTTATTTATATAAAATTATCTTACAACTAACTTAATTAATTTTCTATCAAGGTTGATAATATGTTGTCAGTTATCGCTATTTTTAGTGGATTGAATTATTACATTTTATTGTTCTTTACAAAAAGGTTCAAAATGGGATACAAGGACGAAAGTCCCGGCACTTGGGATTTTTCCTTCTATTGTCTTTTTCACATATATTTTCATAATTGTAATTAGATACGGTGCCTTGTATTTATAATCAGTAATACAATTTATCTATACAAAAGTATTTAAGAAAATAATGGAATTTCCCTTTGGATACTTGAATGATCAACAATGTCCTTTTCAAACAACATCCGGTTGACGATAACATTAAGTTTAGATTATTTACCATTTAAAATAAACAACATTATAAGCCGTTTTAGTTGCTTTGTCTATTGGTTTGTAAGACAAACTTAAATTGATAAATATGTGGATTAAATCCACATAACAAGTGTAATTATCCAAAATTTAAGACATGTTATATTGTAAAGATTTTGACCATTTATATTTATATATAATATTTATTAAATATTTATTTAATATTTATATTAATATTTAAATAATTATTTGCATTTAAAATACAATTTAAGCTAAAGCCAATGTGATACTCGTATACGGTACATTGTTGTACTAATTAACATCTTAATGTAACCGATTGTTTTCAAAAGTTTTAAATACTTAAAATAACTTCTACTTAAAAATCACTTGTTTTGTTGCATGGGCGATACGCTAATTTATGGGAACGCTCCAGTGCATAGCAAAATAAGTTCTATGAAAACCAAACATTAACTAAAACAACTCAAACATTTGAAAAAAATTACGACACTTGTTTACACCAAAAACTAGATATTGTATCTTACTCTTGGAGTGAACAATGCCGTACTCCACTGATAAGCTCATACGCTCACGCTGATATTCTCTAACAAATCTAACAGCGCATTCCTGCTCAACTTCAACATGTACTACAAATAGCATCTCAGTAAGTACTGCAAACTCGATAACTAATACCTTGAGTTCTACATCAACCCAGATATCCGTTTCCTCTACTCATGCCTTACCTTTACTTCCAACAACCTCGGTAAGTTCGATCGCTAATATATCAAACATTATACTGAACGAAATGCCTACTACATCATCTTGCGCTATGTTCTCGACATCTGTGCACAAAGAGCAGAACATCCAAAAAACTCTCCAAGTTCATACTCAATGGAAGGGAAATACTCACTTAAAAGAAAACCCATTAAGCAATTTCATTGAAAACTCTTCAGTACAAAAAATCAAAGTTCAAAAGAAAGTCAGAAAAGAATTCGTTCAAGTCCAGAAATTCGCCGTTCAAAAAATGCAGAACAAACTAAAAAACAAGCTAAATTAGATAGTTACTGGCTAGATAATCCAAGCCGTTCTGTAAATATGCCAAGACTATGTTTCATATGGAATTTCTGTCACCAGAGCAGATTAAGAGCTCTTCTCTAGATTCAGTTCTAGATTTTATTCACAAAGCTCTAAAGAGCTTTGTTTAATCAATAGTGAAATTGGTACAATAGGACTCTTGTGGCCGCAGTACCGGCTATTGGGCTATTTTCACGTCTACACTTTTATAATAATCTTAAATTCTCCTAGATGAGTGCAAACATCCCGATCTCAACATTCCCGTAGTTAAGAATGTTATGAAAAGCCAAGCCAGTAAACACAAAAAGTGTATGTTACATTATCTCAACCGCTTTATGAGCAGAATGATAGCAGAAGGAAGAACGTTTACACGCTTCCGTAAACAAACACCACTGGAACTTTAACGTGTCCGACTTCAACAAACAGATGT